GATGTTAATAATAATGTATTTGGTTTTAATAAATTATTTCTAATAGTCTATATTGATTGAATAAGTAAATAATTTCCAGCTAATGTACGATCTATAAAGCCAAGAAAATTATTAATATGAAAATGTATCAAGACGATGTATAGTTTCATCATGAATTTAAAATTCACGAAAATCATTAAGAATTGTTTAGCTAAAATAAAATTAGAGATCTTATAAAACCATAGAAATTTTAAATTCAAATAAATGGTACTATCATAGTAGATAAATCCAATTATGGACCAAACTAAACGGAAAGGACGATTGATATTCTAGAAAACAATTTAAACTTTAGAAAAATTTCATGAATAAAAAAAAAACGAACTTTTCTGTTTGCTAATGCTCGAAATGTGACAATAAATGGATCAATTAATCGTAATTCAAATAATGATACAATAATAAAATTTGTTAATTCTGTAGAATAAATATCCAAAAGTGATTGATCCTAAAAAGTAAAGTGAAATCTAAGATTATCAAAGAAAGAAAAATAACCCTTGATGATGCCATAGTAACATGTAATTGTAAATGAATAAGAAGTCCATGGACAATCTGTCGTGAAATATAATTCCATTAATCACCTTCGTGTTGAATACTGTCAACAATAATATCATATACAACTAAGTCTAATACTGCTAAAACTAAAAAAAAAGAATTCAAACAATAATTTATTTTTCTTAAAAATATTTTTTTTCTTTTCTTCTTATCATACGTTGCAGGTCATGTTTACTTGCTTTGTGACAACATAATAAGAAATTTCGTAAGAAATTCTATTAAAAAATAAGCGATAGATCAGAAATACAAGAAATTTTATCAGTGTTTAGTATACTACAATTAATGTGAATTAAAAGTAATTGAACAAATGAATCGAGTACAGCAACTTGAAAATCACTTTCATTCGTGTCAACATATTTTTTTTTTAGTATTAATTTTTTACTTAAATAAAAACTATGAAACAGAGTAGATCTAATTCATGTTGTTTGTGATGAAATATTCGAAGATTTTTATTTCAGAAGATGGTGATGAAGGGTGTTGGTGTGGCAATGAATGTTATTATTTTTTTCAACTCACACTCTACATATACACATAAGACGAATATTTTTTTTCGACTACGACGACGACGACATGATATTGACGTCCGTCTGATGAGAAAAAAAGTTAAAAAAAACATACATATATCATTACATAAAAATTGATCGTCAAATCAATTAAAACACACGAAGAAACATCAATTCACGTGTGTGATGTGATTGATGAAAAATCAATCAAAACCGTTGAATATTAAACAATGAACCATAGTGTATATATAAACATGGATGTATCATCATAAAACAGTACATTCGCGTTTTCTCAATATGATGCATTACAATGTAATTATATACCCGGGTACATTATTTATTATTATTATTATTATTATTATATTATTTACAATGATAATGATATCATTATATTTTAAATAAGGTAAATTATTTGTCTTTATATTTAACAATACTTTTTTTTTAGATGAGCTACGATACAATACAACATAGAGAGGTAGGAAAAAAAATTTTTTTACATGTTGAGTTGAGTTGAGATAATTTATTTCGAGAAAAAATAAATATTGTCAGTTATTATGAGTATGAGTACTTTTGAGATGAGATGAGTTGAGTTATGAATGTTATTAGTGTGGGTCAGATAGCTACGTTGTCTGACTCAATAGGTAGAGTAACTTTGCCATAGCGAAGCAGTGTAGTACTAGGGAAGGCCTCTATGTGTCGTTGGTCCCTACCGTGTTAATACGGCATACCTTCGGCCATTGCCCTACCAGTCCGGCGTGGTCCGCCTGTGGTACCTATGGCATTGACAAGGGACCTCTCCCTTGTCGCGCGCGCGCGGGTAAGCCAAAATGAGCCCAGAAAAATCGAAATGAATAGCAATGTGAATAAATTTATTGAGAAAGGAAAAACAACCATTTACATTTTCTTTTTAACATGATCAATGGTATCTTTCGTTGCTTTAATTGAAGGATGTCCTGGTGGAAGCGACTTTTGTTTGATAAGAAGTGCCTTTTCTAAGAATGAGAGTGCTTTTGAGTAGTCTCCTTTGCCGAAATACGCCATACCAATGTTATTGTAGGAAGTAGCCAATGAGGGATGATTCGGAGGCAGAGCTTTTTCTTTAATTTTAAGTGCTTTTTCGTGAAATTCAAGTGCTTTCGAGTAGTCACCCATGTTGTCATACACTTGACCGATGTTGTTGTAGGAAGTAGCCAACTCGGGATGATTCGGAGGCAGAGCTTTTTTCGTGATTTCGAGATCTTTTTCGTAAAATTCAAGTGCTTTCGGGTAGTCACCCATGTTGTCATACACTTGACCGATGTTGCTGTAGGAAGTAGCCAAATCGGGATGATTCGGAGGCACAGCTTTTTTCGTGATTTCGAGATCTTTTCCGTAAAATTCAAGTGCTTTCGAGTAGTCTCCTTTGCGGAAATACACCACACCGATGTTGCTGTAGGAAGTAGCCAATGAAGGATGATTCGAAGACAGCTTTTTCTTTAATTTTAAGTGCTTTTTCGTAAAATTCAAGTGCTTTCGAGTAGTCACCCATGCCGTCATACACGAGACCGATGTTGCTGTACGAAGTAGCCAGTGAGGGATGATTCGGAGGCAGAGCTTTTTCGAGCATTTTATGTGATTTTTCGTAAAATTCAAGTGCTTTCGAGTAGTCACCCATGTCGTCATACACCGAAGCGATGTTGTTGTAGGAAGTAGCCAAATCGGGATGATTTGGAGGCAGAGCTTTTTTCGTGATTTCGAGATCTTTTTCGTAAAATTCAAGTGCTTTCGAGTAGTCACCCATGTTGTTATACACGAGACCGATGCTGTTGTAGGAAGTAGGCAACTCGGGATGATTCGGAGGCAGAGCTTTTTCTTTTATTTTATGTGCTTTTTCGTAAAATTCAAGTGCTTTCGAGTAGTCACCCATGTTGTTATACGCAAGACCAATGTTAGTATAGAGAGTAGCCAATGAAGAATGATCTTCCGAAAGAGTTTTTCTCTTGATTTCGAGAGACTTTTCATAAAATGAGACCGCTTCGTTATATTTTCCTTGTTGGAATTTCAAAATTCCAAGCTGGTGATAAATAAATGCTCTATCACTGTCACTGGAAGCATTCTTGAGTAATCCATTGTAGAGTTCTTCAGCCTGATTGAAGTGACCCACTTTGAGCATCAGTTGACCCATTCGATGCCATCCGGTGGATCCTTGAGTTTCCTCTCGTATGTGATTAGTAAGAGCAGCCAATTGTGGATCATTATCGCCGGTCAGAGTCAATTGAACTTCCCACAGACGACTATTGCTAATTGATTGCTTGATATCATCGACACGAACAACAGTATGCATTGAAAATAGGATTTCTTTTTCAGTTTCAATAGCACTGTAGTCGTCGATAAGTGCAAATGGAGTAGTTGCCGCCGATATTGTATTTGGATCAATTGTCATGATGAAAAGAACACCCACGACATCTTTATTTTTCCGCATGACACGTTCTACGAATTTCATAGCGATCTGTTGTTTTGTACTAGTTGACAAAAAATTGTTAAATGAGAGCAGCCCACCTTTCGTGTCCATTAGATGCTGAAAATCTTGTTCAATGAGCCCTTGACCACGATAAACAATAAATTTTTTCGTAAAAGTCTTTGCTTGTTCTTTGTGCAGTTGTTCCAGCTGTTTATGAAGGTTTCGGATGAAAAAGCCCATTTTTGTCATGGCTTCCATGTCGAGTGATCGTAGAGCGTAATTAAGCATGCCATAAAGGAATTTTTCACGCGTATACCACCAGACTGGCGTTTTCTGGTGGTATGTACTCTGAAAGTCCTTTAATTGTTTCTCCGAAATACCTTTTCTTCGACAGTAAACGACTAGATCGTTCAGCGGCTTCGCGTCGTCTTCAGTGATTTCCAATATAATCTCTTTGAATAACACCGAGTACATAAATGATGGTTCTAATTGGTCCAGATTTTCTTGACTTGATGTAGCTGCCGTCGTTTGCTTCGGAACGAAGCTCATGGGAATGGCATCATGGTCACATTCACGGGTGACCTTCTTTAATGATTCACATATAGGCTTGATTGAGGTGAAAACACCTTCAATCTTTGCCCATTCTTTTGCCCATGCTTCATGTTTTGTTTTATTACCACAAAAGATATAAATTGCATCCACTTGTGACAAATCATGAATCTGCGGTACGACGTGCTGCCCCAAAGCTCCAGACGCGATAACGAACGCTTTTTCGTTATCCATATCATTCAGAAATTGAATACATTGCGCTGGAGTCGTACAGAGATTGACTTCTCTGACGACACTGCGCAATTTCTCCAGCGTGTTTGCGCAATCTTTGTTGTTTTCGTCGATGTTACCATCGACCCATATCAGTAAATAATTTTGAAGCCGACCCTGGTTTGGTCGGCTGGCAATAGACGAAGATCTTGCAGTTGCAGCGGCGCACATAACGAATTGGGATATGTTGTTTGAATTGTGTTCGCTTGAATCGTGTATGAAATGTTGTTATTCAATTTAAAACGATGAATAATTGCTTGGTAGTTATACAGAGGTCACCTTTTCTATTTATACAGTCAGTATCTGGTGTTTTTGTTTTCTAGATTTTCTGCGACATGAAATGTGGGTTTTTTTTCGTTGATACTCGATGATAAATTCTCCTTAGCTTCAGTTGAAAAAAGAGATAAGTGCAACCATTTCACTTATCTTATCGTTATTCTTTCCAACTTTCGTATATACCTTTTTATTATATTGACTTTCATTGTCCTTATAAAGTGATGTTTACATTGGTCGATAAGAAAAAATTAAGCACTAGTAAGTATAACGATAAGGATAAACGAGCAACAAGAGAAAACAATAGAAAGTAAGGGTATCATTATTGTAAACTATCAGTCTAGGGAGACCTTATATAGTAGAAGAATAACAATGGCACGGGAGAGAGGATAGAAAAATAACTTGTCAATTTATTTGTGTCATATTTCACAGAATGTAGATTAATAGATAAAAACGACGACAAGACACAACGAAATCCATAATAATATGTCGATCACGTTTCGTCCGAATCTCTGCCCATCATTAATAAGCCTTCAACAGATATTTGTGTGTAGAGACAAAGCTAAAACAATGAGTAGTGATTTCGTGTTTTAAAGAGATAGTTCGTCGGCAGACTTACACCAAAAATGATGCTGTTCGTGCCGGATAGTGTATTAAGTACACTGTCGGTCCTGAACCTTTTGAAAAGTGTATAAAATTAAAAAAAATTTTTTGGAAATCCAACCAAGCGATGCGGATGTGGGCGTGAGTTCTTCCGCTGATTATGCCCACATCCACACTGATACTTACCCTCATGCCCACACTTACCCATAAGCGCATCCATACCCACGCAGAAAGTGAGGTATGGGTGCGTGTTTGTGTATAGAAGTAACTTTTCCTTACGCCGCACCCACCCATTCCTACACTTAGGCCACAGCACAGCACGCTTACACCCGCACTAACATCAACGCTCACACCCACAGCCACAGCCACACAGCCAGAGCCCCACCCGCACATCTACCCACACCTACACCCACATCCGCATACACATCTTCACCCACACCCACCCACACCCACCCACACCCACCCACACCCACCCACATTCACACACATGCACATCCACACCCACACTAATACACACCCACACTCACCCACACACCATCCACTCACACCCATACACCCATGCCCACACCCACACCCTACACCCTTGATAGTCCTGCATCAACTCATAATTCACTGATAAGCGTCTCTTGTGACAGTTTTCTTATCTATTAGAGAACGATAAACACGTGTCAACATTACTCTCGCATTCTCCTATTTCTTTTTTTTTGCTTGTGCCATAAGTATACGCTCTACGCAATATTCGAAAAATTTTCTTTTATCTCAAAAAGTAACTCCTTCCTGAAGGTGATATTACATATAATTAAAATAATTTTTCGAATAGATTTTTTCTTCTACATCAAAGGGATTGAAAGGAAGTTGAGGCAAGTCGAATCCCATCGAATTCAACAAAATCGCTAGATTATCGAGATCATGTCGAAAAAAATTTGTTTCCACACATCTACTTATGATTATTACTCTACTACTGATGTTTTAGAAAC